AGGAGCAGGCGCTGTCGTCTGGCCTGAGTGAGTGCGGTCGGGAGGGGCGGGACCCCGGCTGCGGAGGGGCGGCGGAGGCTGGAGCCGGGGTGGGCCCAAGACCCCAGACGAGGGCCACGGGCTGCAGGGTGGGGAAGGGCCGGGCTGGAGCTGGCGGAGCGGTCGGAGCCTGCCGGCTGCCGAGGCCCAGTCGGAGACCCCTGGCTCCCGCAGCGTCCTGCCGCGTAGACCCTATCCCCCCAGACCGCCCCCCACGCACTGCCCACACCCAGCTGACCTCCGAAGGAGGAAGTTGCAAGGCAGGGAAGAGGCGTTTCGGCCCCTGTGGTTTCCGGGGAGTCACTGCTCTGCCTGATTGGGAAAACCCGGCTGCACGCACTGCTGGGCCCCTTCCTGCCCCGGAGGGAGGACGCCGCCCTGGGGTCCGCCCTGGGGTCCGGAGAGACCCCGCTCCCTGGAGGCAGCTGGGCAGGAACTGGGGCAGGGCTGGGGCTCCCTGAGCTGGGGAGGTGGGCTTACCCAATGGGGGACACACTCCATCTGGGCCCAGCCCCGAGTCCGCACAGACGGAAGTCTAGGATTTCACAAGGCGGCTGGAAACCACCGAGTGCCCGCCTGCCGCCTCTGGGCAGGACGGTGGGGCTGGACACCCTGCCCGTTGCCCAGGAGCTGTGAGGGGCAGTGGGTCTCCTCCACTCCGTGTCTGGTAGCATCCCGGCCAGGACAGAAGGGGTGGGCTGAGGCCAGCGGAGACCCTGGGCGCCAATTTTGCCTCCCTCTGGGCAGGGCTGCTCCAGGAAGCAGCTGCACCCGGTGGGGGCGGGACACGAGGAGGGTCCCAGCACCCCTGCTCCTGGCTCCCCATGCCTCTGCCTCTGTTGGGAGAGTGGGGAGTGCAGGCAGCCCAGGGGAGACCTCCCTCTGGGCAGAGGCTTTGGGCGAGGGGCCCTGCAGTGTGCCCTGGGCCCTGCTGGCTGAGACCCTCCGGTGAGAGGTCTGTGGTCGGTTAGACCCTTCTCCCGCCTCCCACAGCCGTGCCCGGGCTGTCAGCCAGGGGTGCTGCCCTGCCGAACAGCCAGCTTCCTCCTCCATCCCAAGCTCCCTCAGGAAGTGGAGCTGGGGGACCTGGGTTCTCGTCCCATCCCAGCCTCAGCCAGTGCCCACAGCACGGGGACGCTGGTCTGCTGGGCAGTGTCATGGGGCCTAGAGACTCCTGACATCCTCTGCCTGGATCGTCCTGTGTGGGCGGCCCTTCCTGCAGGCCCAGAGGCCTCTGTCCCCTAACCAGGGCTTTGTCA